AGAAACATAAACAATTACGATTGTGAATATATAGAATTCATATATGATGCTACATATGTAACCAATTCAACATGCTTATTTGTATTTATTTGTGATTGAGTTATGTTCAAACACAAATTCTGACAACTATTAATTTATTAACTAATAACCTGGGGCGTGCCTTGAAAATTCTCTTTATGATAATGAACAACTCTTCCGATTGTCTGTGGGCTTTGCCATGATAAGCTAGCTATATATGTCAATATGGATTTTTCTTTAGCTTTCACTCCTCCCCACATGTTAGAATAGCAACTTTAGTTGTTTTTCAAGATTTTCTCTTTACTTCAATAATGTTTCCTCTTTTGAGATTTCATTTGTTTTATAAACTATTGATGCGAAAAATTGATAATAATAATTCAAATTGTTCCCGGTCCGTTCTTAATAATCCAATGAGGCAATGATTGATTATTTCAAAATAATCCCAACTTTATGGACCTTCCATCAATAATGGTCTCACGTGACGGGCAACCTGCTCAGTCATCTTTATTGTAATCTCTGATTATAATAATCTCAACTATCATATTCCCACTTATTAGATCCAATAAATCAAATTATATATAATCTTAAATATCTGATTAGAGATTCTTTTCACCATAATTACATTTTAGGTAGTTGATCAAATTAGAGATTCTTTTCGCTATGATTATGGAGATTATTATTAGTGGATCGATAATTATTGGTATTATTACTTTTAGCTTTTCCTTATTGATAATGTAATAATGCAATTCGAGTATTTACCCGTGCCGTGCACGAGATTAAATGAAATTTATCTGAGCAAAAATAGACTAATATATAATTACCCATGTCATGCACTTTAATTAGATTGTGTTTGAAACAGATAAAATGAAATTTATTTCAATAGTTAATTATATGTGTAATTATTTTTCTTATAATAAAATGAGAGCCAAAATCAAATTATGTTTAGACGAAGGTGATTAACAAACTGATTTCATTTGGATGCAACAGAAAATTAACATAGCGTTTTGAATTTTCCATCAAAATGTTATATATAGAGCAATAGTGTGTTTGGACCGTTCAAAATAAGATTCACTTGAAAAACATGTATAATCATATATTGTTATAATCAATTAAATTCACACTTAATTGTTGATAATTATAACTGGCACTGACACACACACAACATTACCTTTGTCCCAAAAGGGTTTACTATATTAACTTTGGGTAATGATTTTAACAATTATATTTGTATATATTTTATAAATTTTATGCTTTTATGAAAATATTTTTAATAAGGAATATTTTAATATAGTTTTCATATTCAAAATAATTCTGTATTAAAATATCATTAGTCAAAGTTGAATATAATTGATCAGAAAAAGTTAATTTGACAAATCTTTTTGGGATAGAGGGACTAAAACAAAATAAAAAAAATTAAAATTTGCTTTTATCTCGTACATGCACGACATTGATTGAAATATAGTACTAGATAGTCAATTTATATCTTTTGATTCTAAATTGAAATGAACAATTTTAGAAAAAGTATATATACGTACCCGGTAAAATAATCTAACTTTTGTTTTAGCATATTTAAACATTAAACTTACCAAAAGGATAACATGAATACACACAAAGAGTACTAAATGAAAATTTGTTAAATATTTTTTTCGTCCTTTATAACTGTGTCATCTTTTTATTGGGCTGTTTTAAAAATTGTCATCTTCTCTTCTCATCAATTATTTTGTGGTTCATGTTATTTCTTTCTTCTCCACACAAATCTCAATAACACAATTTTTACTTTATTAATTTTCATGCTTATCATACTTGACAAAGTTATAAGGGGTAGAGAGAGTACCATCGTTATGATTGAGTAACTTAAAGTCTCAATGAATCACATGATTGTAATTCTATTATCAAAATATAATTGTAAAGTAATTTAATTAGTAGTGAAAAGTTGTCTCAAGTGGTACATTTTCTTTCATTTTTACTCATATTGAATTGATTATAGATTTATAGTAGTGCTGGACTCGGGCCGGTTCGGGCCCGGTTCGGGCCTGGGCCCGGCCGGGCCTCGGGCCAGGAAAGGGGAGGCCCGAGCCCGAACCGCCGGTGGCCGGTTCCGGTTCCGGTTCCGGGCCAAACCGGGCCGGGCCAAACCGGTCCAATTTTTTTTTTGGTTCTCCTATTTACTCCCCTACCCCTCCCCTCAACCCCAAACCAGCCCAAACCACCTCAAATGGCCCAAAATACCTATTCCAACCCAAGACTTAAAATTTTTTTCAAAAATAAAAAAATAAAAATAAAATCCGGCCCAGACCGGGCCCGAACCGACCGGGCCGGTTCACCATGTGGAAGGCTCGGGCCCGGAACCGGGAACCACCGGGCCGGTTCGACCCGAACCGCCGGTGGACCGGGCCACCGGGCCACCGGGCCGGGCCGGTTGCTATAGTGGCCGGGCCGGTTCCGGGTCGGGCCGCCCGGCCCGAGTCCAGGCCTAATTTATAGTTGATGAAAATTTAAATGTGAGAACTCAAGATGTGTATATATAAGTAGATTGAGTTTATTAATTAGGAGCAGATTACTAATTATTGAGATTATTATTCTCATTATTTCCTTTAAAATATGGTAAAATGTTTAGCATATTTGTAGTTGGGTGTTGCTTCGCACCAGGGCCGGCCCTGGACAAGGGCAGGCCGGGCTTGTGCCCCGGGCCCAACATTTACAGGGGCCCATAAATATAGAGAGGACAATTCATATCAGACCGAGGTCATTTGGGGCCCTTTATGGATGAATTTTTTTATGAAACTTTTTTAGAGTATTTTTCATCAAGTGTAAATTACATTCACAAAATTTTAGTTTAAAAATCATCCGGGAAGTCAGTTAAATAAAATATTGAAACACACTGCGCTTTGTGTATATAAATAATGCGCACTATCTTTCAATAATTTATTTAACTGACTTTCAGGTTGAATTTTAATCTGAAACTTTGTGGAGATATTATAGATTTCATGAAGAATATATTTAAAAATTTTCATGAAAAAATTCTATCGGGAAGGGCCTCAAATGGCCCCGGTCTGACATCATTTCCCGTTAGGCAGGCCTAATTTCAAGGTTTTATCTTTGGACTTTAATTCGTTTTGCTCAGCAATCAACACTCTCCTAATTTTCTCAAAAATATCTTCCAAATTTGAAATTTCAATTTTACAAGTAATTCTCTGATTTATTTTTTATTTTTTAATATAATTTTTATTCGTTTAGTTTATATATTAAGACTTTGATGAAAGACTTACATTACTTTGTATGTTGAAATTTGCGTATATAAAGTTAAGCTTTTGCAATATATTTATATAACCTTTTAAGGGCCTTCTTTTTTCAATTGCCCCGGGCCCATAAAATATCAGGACCGGCCCTGCTTCGCACACCCCCCAAAATTGCTTTACGTAACCATGAGCGGACAAATTTAACCTTCTCAATTATTAATTAAAAATAACAATAATTAAAATGCTAATAAAAATTGCTATGCGCATCTCCTACATTCACGCTCGGCTCCATTGGCTTGCCCATATCAATTTCACATTTAATATACATCCAATAAAATGTTGCCATGTGGAAAGTAATTCTTTTTTTTTATAAAATGTCATAACTTTTTCATTTTTGCTCCAATTTTTATAAAACTTATATCACATTAAATATTTTTTTATGATCTTTCATATGACACCAATATTATATATGTAATGTTTTTTAAAAAAATCTGGTCAAGTCTCGTGAATGATTGATAAATGTCTATTTTTACTATTATTGAAATCTAGTCTAGTAAGATTTGATCCTATTTGTTTGAATCTATCTGGATCTAAATCAGTTCAATTAAAAACATCCTATATATCATTCACATCATAAATTTAGTCATGTACTACCTCTGTCCCGCTAAGATTGTCTCATTTCACTTTTTCGATCTGTCCCACTAAGATTGACTCATACCAAATTAGGCAAAATTTGTATGGCTCCAAATTATTCTTACTTTATTCTTACTTTATCAATTCAATGTTAACCACATAACTCACTTTTTATTAGTTTGTGTCACTCCCTCTTGTCTCATTGTTAGCGGGACAGGGGGAGTAACATATATGACCGTAATGTGGAATCAGCATGGTGCTGATGGAGTTTAAAAAGGTGGCTCGGTTAGCTTATTCTGCTGAATTATGAAAAAAAATTAAATATATTTTATTAATAAAATAAAGAAAAAATTATCTAAGAATAGCTAAAATAGCCCTCTAGAGTGACTTCATCCAATTGAGACAAAAAAGTAACTTCAAACTTAATATATTCATTATTACATAACTTAGCGCACACAATCAAAAGTCACATGTTTGGTGAAAAAGTTGATTGATAAAGATCGAATAGTCGAAAAATTAGCTCTAAAATTGGTCGAATCGAATGATTGTGGTGAAAATTATGAAGTATTTTGTTATAGTTACTGGATTCACTGATTCGATCGAATTATGAAAATTTATATTTAAAATTATATAAAACAAAGGAAACTATATATAAAAATAGATAAAATGCTCTTCTGCAATAATATCACCGCATTTAGCCAGAAAAGTAACTCCAACATTTTATATTTTATTATATAATCAGCGCTCAAAATAAAAAATTACATATTACGGAGTAAGTGGAAAAATTGTTTGATGAGGCTGACAAACCGAAAAAATAAGGTGACCAAACATGGTTTTAATATTTTACATTTTAGTATGTAATTAATTAATTTGTGAGTTTTTTTCAAAGAAACGGTATTAATTAATTTGTGAGTAAGTTTTAATAAATAAAAAATTAATCTGTAATTTAAATTCCATCCACGTTAAGTAAAAAAATTAATGAAGTAAGATGTGCCCTTTCCGTTTACTACGTATACGAAATAGTAGTACGTAAGTTAAAGATGTACGTGCGCCTAGCAATTAGCAAACTAACTTCCGTATGTCAAGGGCATAGATGTCCATCTATGACAAAAAAGAGGTGCGCCCAGCACCTTCGGAGGTGCGCGAAGTCTGCGCGTTTGTAGTTTGGTTGGCTTTTATCTCCTTAATAACTTCATCCACCCTCTATCCATTAATCCAATCTCAAGATTTCATTCCCTTGCATCTACTGTACAAGCATCCGAATGGTATAAAGCTAAATCCTCACTCAATCTTCCTTTCGCAAGTGAATTAGGAGCACAGACAAAAACCAAACCAAACGAATTAGGATAACTGCAGGGGGAATGCTGTTCCCTACCGAATTTTGGGTCGCCATAGTTGCGGCGGCGGTTTTGTGGAGCGCCGGAGGAGCCTACGGGATCAGATTCGTCATTGACAGAGAGGAGTGTTTTTCCCAGAAGGTGGAATTGGGGAAGACGGTGCATTTTTCATTCGTGGTGATTAAATCCGAAAATTCTTGGCGTTACAGTGAAGACGGTGTTGATCTTTTGGTATTAATCTACCTCCCCATTTTAAATTTTCCGGCTTTATTTAATCTTGATTCTAGATTAATTTATCTTTTTTTTGCGCTTGTGTGCAATTACCTTATGAATTTGGCTACTAGATGTGTGATTAATGATTCATGCTCTTATTATGCTGTAAAAGCTCGAATCTGTGTAGGCTCGAGTTAATTATTCAGCCTTACTTAAGCTAGTTAATTTTTATAAGGCTCAAGCTCGGTTTAAACTGCTCAAATTAAGCTCGGATAAAAAAACTCGACTTTGATTGTTCTAGTTCGAACTCAAAAAATCAATATCTTACTTCATTAGGAACTTTTCTTGATGATATCTTCCACTTTTGCTCTCACTTTGATGTTGTTGATTTTTCTCATGTAAAAAGAGGAAGGAATTCAGTTGCTCACTTAATGGCTATTATGGTGTAGAACAGATATTTGTAACGGCCTTTGAGAGAGTATTATTACACTAGTAGAACTTGAGATGAAGTAGCATAAGCTTTCATTCAAAACAAAGTTGGAACTCAAGCCTGATATATATAAATATAAGAATCTATACACATGTGGCTGAAATAAAAAGTGTGTTCCCTTGAAAAGTGAAAACCAGTATATACACACAGCATTGACACAGGTAGTTCAAACTCAAGCGAAAACACCCAGTTATATGAAAAACGAGAACTCATTGAGTTGATTTTGGCAGATTAGGTATGCCGAGTGATTTTAGGAATTGTAAGCAAGTCATTAATAAGATGTTCATTAGTTTGAATATCATCTAACTGTTTATTCGTTAACCATATAAATGGTTTAAATGCATTATCTGCATAACTGTTTATCGACATTTTTGCTCATAATTGTTCATTAGACGCTTTAATAATCATGTACGCATCTGCATGACTACTCCGTTTCTGGATAGAATTTGTATCACTAAAAAGAAATAAGAACTGAAATGTATGAAAAAAATCCGATTTCTGTACATTACAAGGATATGAAGAAACATGGTTTAGTAAACATGAATTGTGAGCTACTCCCTCCGCCCCCTATCTTGATCCCATTTTACCTTTTTCGTCTGACCTACTATGTTTGTCCCATACCATATTTGGTAATGTTTGAGTGGTTGCAATTCATTCTTATTTTATTCACACTTTATCAATTAATTACCAACCACACTTGTCCAAATCTTAGAGGGACAGAGGTAGTACTTTTATTTGTTTATAAGGCATAAACTTCTAGCTTGAACATATGTGATAATAAAGTAGCAACTAGTATACCGCTTTCTCTTTGTGAACATCGTTGGTGCCCATATTTAGCTCTCTAGTATGATTTCTAATTTGTTGTTTTGGTATCGTGTGGGAATCATCAGGTGAGTGGACCACATGGTCAACAGATTCACGATGTGCGCGATAAAATCAGCGAGAAGCATGAATTTATTGCTAATCATGATGGTGTACACCGTTTCTGTTTCACAAATAAATCCCCTTATCATGAAACTATAGACTTCGACCTGCATGCCGGGCACTTTATATTTCTTGATGAGCATGCCAAAGATGGTAACATTTCTTGCTCATGTGGTTGATCATAGTCACTTTTTTCTTTAATTTATTCTAAATTGTGGCCATTGTGGTTTGGCACTCGCAGAACATTTCAAGCCTTTGTTTGAGCACATCGGAAAGCTTGAGGAAGCTTTGTATAACATTCAATTTGAGGAACATTGGTTGGAGGCTCAGACGGACCGACAAGCAATAGGTATACACTTTTTTGTTAGGAAATTTCTTGAGATAACCCTAATGTTCAATGTATTTACCAAGATGACCCTAAGGTGACTAGAAATTTCACGCCTTTCATGGTTGACTGATAAATACCTTGAGGTCTGTTAAGAGCACGCGTACACGATCTCGTCCAAGGTCTAGAATGAGATAACGGAAGTGAATTCCGGTAGAGAGATGACTGAATTTTTGGATCTATGATGAGCAGAGAGAAAACGGAAATAAAAGACTTTATTGGAATTAATTCGGTGCCCGACCTTGTCAAGACACAATAATTAATTCTCCAGAAAAACCCCCCTTACATCCACTGAGGACCCCTATATATAAGTCATATAAGAGCCCCTAAAGAGAATAAAGTAAACCTGCTAAAACTGAATTAGGAAACTTGCTAAAACTGAATTTAGGAAACTTGCTAAAACTGAATTTAGGAAACTTGCTAAAACTGAATTAAAGCAATAAAATAAATAAAGAAACTTGCTCCCAAAGTCAGCCACTTTCAGTGGCTTTATTGGACTGAATTCCTTCGGGCCGATCACCCCTTTGGCCCATCCTGCGCCTTTGATATGTTTGACCCCAAAACTTGTCCATAACATCACTCCCCTCGTCGACTAGGAGCTTGTCCTCAAGCTCAAAATCTGGATATGAAGCCCGAAATGTATTTGCAGGTTCCCAGGAGGCTTCTTCAAGTGATTTTCCCTGCCATTGGACCAGGAATTCTAAGCAGCCATGATTCAGACGGTTGCGGATAATAGCAAGCGGCTTACTCTCTTCAGGTGGGTTAACTAGCAATGGTAGAGTCCCCATGGTTGCTGGTGGATTTCCCTTGTGTGGCTTTAAAAGAGAGACATGGAACACATCGTGAATGCGGCTCTCAGGTGGTAATTGCAATTTGTATGCTGCTTGTCCAATTCGTGACTGAACTTGAAATGGTCCATGGAACTTTGGAAGTAATTTATGGTTACCACGACTTAGGGACAGTTGTCTATGAGGATGAATGCGTAGCCAGACCCAATCTCCTACCTCGAAGGACAGATCGCGATGAGTTTTATCGTACTGCAGCTTCATATGCTGTTGTGCTTGAGCTAGTCGTTCTCTAGCCTTAGCTAAGAGTTGATCTCGGCTAAGAAGCGCCTGTTCCACACCCTCTAATCTCGCTGTCCCAGGAATATATGAGATAAGTTTAGGTGGATCCCGACCATAAACAAGGCGAAAGAGTGTATCACCCAACGAAGTATGATAAGAGGTGTTATAGCAATATTCAACCCATGGGAGCCAACGAACCCATTCTTTTGGATAGTCACTGGTGAGACATCGCAAAAACATTCCCAATGTGCGATTTACTACCTCGGTTTGCCCATCGGTTTGAGGATGATAGGCAGACGAAAATGCTAATTTAGTTCCAGCCAACCGAAATAGTTCTTTCCAAAAAGAACTCACAAATATTTTATCACGGTCAGAGACGATGGATTCTGGCAGTCCATGTAGGCGGAATATTTCCGCAAAAAAAACCCTGCAACAGAAATGGCAGTGAATGGGTGTGCTAATGGCAGGAAGTGTGCTGCTTTAGAAAGACGATCAACAACCACCAATATTACTGTCTTTCCTCTAACCTTGGGCAGCCCTTCTACAAAATCCATCGATATATCTGCCCAGATATGTTGTGGAATCGGGAGCGGTTGAAGGAGCCCTGCCGGCTGCAAGTTCAACCATTTGTGTTGCTGACATGTCTGACAATTCTGAATAAAAGCTGCCACGGTGGATTTCATGCCAGGCCAGTAAAACTCCCGTCGGAGAAGCTGCAATGTCTTTTCCACTCCCTCATGGGCCATGCCATGGAAAACTGAAAGGAGGGTCGAGATAATGTCGAATGAATCCAGTAGGTATAGTTTAGACTTGAAATAAACTAGCCCGTCGATCAATGTCCAATCGTTTGTGTGGTTACCAGCTGTGATTTGGGATCGAATTTCAGAAATCACGGGGGAGCCCGTTTGTTCAGCCCGGATTGCGCTTAGTAAGGAATTGAATGGAATTGTCAGAGCTGCCAAAGAAATATCTCCTTCATCGCGGCGGGATAGTGCATCAGCTGCAACATTAAGTCGGCCGGGCTTGTATTCTACGCGAAAGGTGAACCCCATCAATTTGCTCAACCAGTGTTGTTGTGGGGAAGTGGTAATGCGCTGATCCAATAAATGTTTGAGGCTGGAATGATCCGTGCGGATGACAAATGCACGACCCCACAGATAAGGACGCCAATGTGTGACTGCTTTAGCCAACCCAATGAGTTCCCGTTCATAGGCTGGGAGTTTAATGTGGCGATCTGCTATCTTTCTGCTGAAGTAAGCGATGGGATGTCCATCCTGCTTCAACACCGCGCCAAAACCAGTACCTGACGCATCACACTCGACCTCAAAGTCTTGCTGAAAATTCGGCAATTGTAGCACCGGCGCTGTTGAGAGGCAAAGTTTTAACTGGTGGAAGGCTTCTGCTGCAATTTCTGTCCAAACAAAGGAGTTCTTCTTCAACAGTTGTGTCAAAGGCCCTGCAATCTCTCCGTATCTTTGGATCTTTGGATAAATTTGCGGTAGTAACCAGCAAGACCTAAGAACCCGCGCAAGGCTGTGATTGAGCTAGGAGTGGGCCAATCCATTACTGCCTGAATCTTAGTTTTATCAACTTCAACCCCTCCGCTATGGATAACATGACCTAGGTAATGAACCTGGACAGTGCCGAAGCTGCACTTGGATTGTTTAAGAAATAAGCCATTATGACGTAGCACATCTAGGACGAGACGAACATGGTGAACATGTTCAACCCCAGATTTGCTATAAACTAAGATGTCATCGAAAAAAACCAAAACGAACTTACGTAAATATGGTCTGAAAATATCATTCATCAGACTTTGGAATGTGGATGGTGCATTTGTCAGACCAAATGGCATTACTAAAAATTCAAAGTGACCATGATGAGTTCGAAAAGCTGTTTTATGAATATCTTCAGGAGCCATGCGAATTTGGTGATACCCGGAGCGGAGGTCCAATTTGGTGAAGAATTTCGCCCCGTGTAGTTCATCTAACAGTTCATCAATGACTGGGATGGGAAATTTATCTTTCACAGTTTTAGAGTTGAGCTCTCTGTAATCAATGCAAAAGCGCCAAGAGGCATCGGTTTTTTTTACTAGCAACACAGGGGATGAGAAGGGTGAGTGACTTGGCTGAATTATTCCTTGCTCAAGCATCTCAGAGCATTGGCGTTCGATCTCATCTTTCTGGAAATAAGGGTAGCGATAAGGCCTGACAACTACCGGTCCGGCTCCCGGATGAAGAGTTATGTGGTGATCGCAGGTGCGCTTAGGAGGTAAGCCTGATGGAAGAGAGAACAAATCCATATAATGGGACAGTAAGCCATTGAGAGTGTTGTCTGCATTCTGAGAGTTTGTCATCAAATGCACCTGCAATTTTGGGGCTGCTTCTTGTCCATGCCACTCAACTGCACGTCCTTGCCAGTTGAACCGCATGGAAAGATGAGCGAAATCCCAAAGAATAGAACCCAAACCCCGGAGCCAATGAACGCCCAGAATCATATCAAATCCGGCAAGGGGTAACACATAGAAATCAGCCACAAATTCTTGTCCATTGACATGAAAAGTCAAATGCGGACAAGACCCGAGGATAGGGACACGATCGCCATTGGCAACGAGAACATGTAAGCGAGACTCAAGTGGCGATGGTGGAGAGACGGAGGAGATCAAGCGCTGGTGTATAAAATTGTGAGTGCTTCCCGAGTCAACCAAAATTGTAATTGGTCGGTCCAGTAAGCTGGCACGTAACTGCATAGTAGAGGAGGATCCGAACCCGGTCATGGCCAGCAATGATAACGAGGGTTCACTAGTAGGAATCTCTGACTCGAGCTGGTCATCTTCAACAATCTCCACAAAGAATAAGCGCTTACAACGATGACCGTGCACCCACTGGTCATCACAATTGTAACACAATCCCTTTTCCCGATGCTCGTTTAAAAAGTAAGGGGTTGAAATGGCCAAATCGGGATACATGGGGATTCAAAATTACAATTATAACTTGATATTTAGAAATAATACTGGGCACATTGGTTCTTACATTATGTGTTTGGCTGCAGTAAACGAAAGAATGAGCACAAAGGCAATCTACAAAGCTTTTTGGGAGTCTGTGGCTCTTATTGGTGCTAGTCTTCTGCAAGTTTATCTCCTTAAGCATTTGTTTGAGCGGAAGCTGAGGCAGTCCAGAGTTTAATCTTTGGTACTGATATATCTATTGTCCTTATTATAAGAAAAACTAATAGAAAATGTTCCATCGATCCTTTCATTATTTTTTGCAAGTACAAACATTCATATCACTGATATTATTAAGTGAAAATTATTTAATTCTTTATATTAATTATTATCTCCCTTGGATGTGTGAAAGAAAGAGAGCTGAAACATCCCAAAACTCAGAGGTTGAATAAAATACAAATATTGACACATTTATCAATTATCAATAAACTAATAGAAGTACTGACAAATGGCTAGATTTAATGCTTCATCATAAAAAGAAACAAAAATCATAGCTCAAGCTTAAATAAAAATACCCAAACAATACGGAATATAAGCTCTCCTCGATTGTTTTCCAGTCATACAAACTCTCTAGTGCTGTTCTACATCAAAAAATGACTATCCATGTGTAGGGACAAACTCAAGAAATGTATACTTTTAGACTATTAATCACTTACTACTCGGGGATGCAAAGAGGTCTGTCTGTCTTCCATTAGAGTGATCAAAATATAGTAGTGAAAGTTATACTCCGTATGAAAATGAACAAATGTTAAAAAGGAAATATTTTTCTGATAATGATCATGGAGCACGTAAAATTGAAAGAACAAGTAAATAAAGAGTTGTGTTGGAAAAAGCTTGAAGATGCTTATGTGTTGGAAAATAAAATATTGAAGATTAACAAAAATTAAACCCATGCAATAACCTCATCAACGATTCACCATTGCCTGCATGCAGGCATGCGTTCATTCATTAATAGAAGAAAAAACAAAACAAAAAAATAATAATGTTACAACAGAGTAATAGAATTCCACGCCTGCCATCTCTTCTCTTTTGAGATGTGAGTGATAGGAGTGACCATGACACGGTACAAAACGGTTCTCTTAAAGAACCTGTCCCATCCCAAATTTCGGTTATTTTAAAAATTAAGGTACCGATGTCGTTCCAAATAAGTAGCACTTGTACTGTTCTGTACCATATTTCAATACGGTTCGGGATGGTTCTTGGTACTATTCGGTTCTTAAATGATGTATATAACAAAATAACATATAAACTATAAATTAAATCAATATTCAAACGCTCAATTTAAAAAATTCTATTTTTCTGAAGAGAAACGTTAATGGAGCAAAAGTAAGAATGTTCATCACAATCAATCATTAACAACCATAAGATTATAATTGCGAATAACAGACCTGGACAAATTTAAACTAAGAATATTCAACATAATGAACTGAATAATAGTTCATAAGATTTGATATAGTTATTAATTATGTTGGACTACGTGAATGTGGGCAAAACTAACATTATTCTAGTAACTAATGCCTAGTTGTATATTTTGTATTCTATGATATAATATGCTATACATTATGTAAAATAAACGATTTTTTGGGAAGGTTCAGAACAGTTCAGTTTGATACGGTTCTGAGACAGTCCTGGGATGGTTCTAGTGAAGAACCAATACTGTTCCATATTATATAAGATAATCGGTTCGGTATAGTACAATACTATATTTTTCCTATTTTTCTGGTTCTGGTACGGATCAGAACAGTTCTCAGTACGGATGAGAACGGTTCTCGGTACGGAATGGGAAATCCCAGATCCATGCTCTGCCTTAGCGAGTGATAGATAATTGCTCCTCCTTCCCTTAAAACTTTGCCATCTTTGATTTTTTGATCAATCATGTTCAACTTTTACCAATTACGGAGTATATATTTTTATAAGAATATAAATATTTTACCACATACTTTTAACAATATGTTAAAAGTATTTTCATAAAAATATAAAATTTATAACTTTCATAATATTATACTAATCAAAATCATAGTACAAACTTTATCACCATTGATCTACCTCCATCCCTTAAAACTGGTCGAACATACTTCATAAAAAACTTAATTGAAAACAAAGGAAAGAGAGATTGTGTGCCTAGACGACAGAAAGAGCTTCATAGGGGTGCTTGGCTTGAACAAGATTGTAGTCAGTACCGAAGAAGGTGCGGAGATTGGTCAAGTAGTAGTGCCTTGAAGCATTGAGGTCTGGGGTTGGGTAGTCATCAGACTCATATGGAGTATAAGTGTAGGGAGACCATACTAAGAACAAACCTTCAGACATTCCGGGGATAGCATCCAGATTAGCAGCATTAGCAGAGCCATCAACAGTTTTAAAACCAATCAAAGATTGAATATAAGGCAGAGCATTAACTGGACTTCTGATGGTCATACCAGGAAGAGTATTCACATCGTTAAGATTGGGATTAAAGTGCAGGAGCATAATCATTGATCTATCATACAGCAGGGTGGAGGCAGGCAGACGACGGGGCTGTGAGTCGGGAGGGGCTCGATTGAGTGGGGAAGAACAGAACCAGCAGCACGGGGATGGAAAAAGGATCCAGGTCGAACATACTTGTAGGGAATGGCGGAATCAGCGAACATGCAATTTTGCATGCCAAGAGACTTAGCAGCATTGGGCATTTCAACAGTAGAACCATCGAGTTCAAAAGACTCAATTATTTTTCCAGCAAGCAGGGGGAGATGGGCAGACAGGGTTTGTTCACCATCAGTGTCAAGGACAAGAACGCTTGGTGCAGTGTAGAGTTCATCAACAAAAGAGACAAGATCTTCATTGTTATCGTGGGGAAAACCATTTTCAGCAGCTGGGCTTTGGAGAAAGCAGATGTCTTGGGCACGTTCATCTTCAGAAGAAAGGTTAAAAGTAGTGATGGAAGCAAAGAGGGCAGCTTTGTTGTCATTTTCACTATGAGACCAGGTCGGAAGAGCATAAGTGGAGTAGCCGTGTTTCACAATAGTAGACGATGAGGATTTAGAAATAAATTCACTCAAAGAGGATTTACAGGCAACCGTACCAGAGAAGAGGGCAGAGATTGCTTGAAGTACAACTTTTAGTACGCGCAAGTTAGCGGAGGTCGCAGAGAACAGCAGATCATAAGCATTAACATCATTGGTGGGAAAAACGGGAGCTTTTAACGAAAGAGCGGCAAAAGAGGATCGGCGCTGAAAGTTGCAGAATAACACAGAATTGAAAACTTGATAAAGCTTAGAGTTAATGTAATTGGCAGTGGTGACAGTGGTTTGTTCGATTGTTATTCCAATAAGATCAGGAATCATGCAGTCGAAGGCAGGGGCTTGGATGGAGTACAGTACCCGAGAGTACAAATCTTTAAGGATTTCATTTTGTGTGATATTACCAGGGAGAGTAGCGGTACAATCATGAATTGCAGCGAACATGTTCAAAGGATAAACACGCCCAAAGAATTGATCGTGATCAAAGCCAGCAGCAGAAGGCACGAAGAGGACATTCTTCGTGCGTTCAGTTGCGAATGAGTGGAACTGGGAGAGAATTGGGACTAGGAATTCAGGTACCGGGAGGGACAGCAGGAATGTAGAAAAATCATTCCTCCATGAGGTTTCAGCCCAGACGCGGGCGTGAGCAGACGGAGCACGGCGAACGTAGAGATCATTCAGCAGAAAGAATCCATAGACAACGGTCATGTGATACATGCAGATAGTAGCAACAGATGATTGGGAATGTTCATGAATGATTTTGGCATGGCGTAGAGACATGAGCATGGTATAGATCAGGATGGGAGTCATGTTTGGGAAAACATCAATGATCCATTGATAAGAGCCCGAGTCGGATCAAGCAGCAGAGTTGGCTCGGAAGAGACTAAGTATATCAGCAGAGGAGTCGGGAGTCTTCACATCTTCAAAGACATGGCCGGTCACAGCCTTAATTTTGATAGTAGTATTAAGATGGGAGTTCGATGATGAAGTTGACATTGTTAATATTTTAGAGGAGGTAGTGAAAGACTTGTTAATATAGACGAATGTGAATCCTTGCTTTCTAATCTAATTAACAAACTCAATATCACACCAATAATTACGGAGTTACATTTTTATGGAGAGTTTTTGTAATTTTCCTTTCTGCCCATTATTAATTAGTCATTATTGGCATGGCAGATCATACGATTTTCACTTCTGCTAGGGAATATTTGTAGACATTAATGACCAATTTCTCCTAGGGAATATAGAGAGGTTCTTCCTCGATTCCTTAATTTCCATTTTTCCCACGTGATCAACTTGTTAAAGGTGTTTACTGATAAGTTGAGAACTTTGTTTGCAGGATAAGTACCAAATATGAGTGGTGTTTGCACGTATTTACAATTATTGTACACATGCACGCATTCATAGACTTCAATGTGAGAACAAAATGGAGTATTTGATGGTTTAAATTTATAGCGGTGTGACAATTGTTAGCAAAAGCAAGTGTTAATGAGATCATTAGAAACATGTCTTTTCTGCAAACAAATAGCGGTTTGAAATAGTTCAAGAAATGAAAATGTTGTTGCTAAATAGTTCAATTTTGCCCTAGCTAGCGTTTTTAACGTTACCAATGAAATGAAAAAAATGCGAAAAGTGACATTTTGAATTAGCATTTTGGAATATGACATGAAATAATTATCCTAGGTATAACTAAAACTTGTTCAGTTTCTCAATCTATGACCTATATAGTTTTTTTACCAAAATAATATTAAATATCATAATATTTTATTAAATTCGTAATTAATAAATCATTAAGTAATTTAGGTGGACAAATATACCCTTTACATCAAATCTATAAATTCTTAAGCTCCCACTCTTTTATCCAAACCCTAGCCTTCATACTCCCACCTCCATAGATTGGCCCGCAGCCGTACGTCCGCCGCCGTCGCCCCATGGTCCGCCGTCTGCCGCCATCCCATGCCCTGCCGTCCGCCGCCGTCAAGGAGCACGATTGCCGCAGCCAGTAGCTTGATTGCCCGACCACCTCGGCCCCACATCTGCTTGCCACAGCCACCACCCAGACCGACGCCACCAGCCCCCACCATCGTCCCTAGACATGTGAGTCGCCGCCGTCCCGATCCATGCGCACCACCGCCATCATGATCCACGCGATTTGCCGCTCAGCCCCCCTCTATCCACCTGATTTGCTGTTGGAGTGTTATTTGTTAACAAAACCTAGCAAGGAGGGGGAGGGCGAGTGCGGCGCAGGTTATGTGAAAAAGGTTGTAGCAACGATATGGGCCTCTTACGTGAAAGGTGGAGATAGGTTGAATTTGTGGACATTAGTTGGACACATAGAAGGATTTGCTTTTTCTTTTGCTACCAGCTATGTGGCTTTCCATTTTCATTTTTTCTTTTCTATTTTTGAAATTAGAGTTTGTGGGCATTAAATTGAGGCAGTGAATATGCGCAGTGAACATCACAATAGACATTGTTGGGTACGACAATGAATATGATAATACATATATGTTGTACATGGCAGTAAATGAATGCATTAATAAAGTCTGTTGTGCAGTGACTATGACCGGGAGTGCATTAACACAGAGCAGTAATTTCGACGTGAAACACAATATACTTAATTAGACGTAAAATAATAAAATTATCAAAACTAAAAAATAAAAAATAAACCTATAAATAATAATTTCAAGGGAAGTGCAGTGATTATTACCTGATGTGCAGTAAAGTCGTGCATTAATTTTGTGCATTAACGACAATTTAAAGTGCAGTAATTTTAATTAGAAGAAATTAGTGCAAAATGCACATATTTTAAATAAGGGTATTCTTGTCATTCAACATTTAAATATAAACGAATTTTCTATTTTTTTTTTTTGGATTTTTGGTCATACAAAGGTATAAAAACTAGTTAGATCATAGATCGAGAAACTGATTAAGTTTTAGTTATATTCTAATAAATTTCCCATATGACATTACCTAGTAATTGATATGATCAAACAATTTAATCACAAAACATCTTTTAAAATCTGTCAACTTATTCTACTAGTCAAACTAGTTTACTGAATCCGCAACGTATTTTGCTAGTTAAAACGATTTATAATTAAGTTGACACGATTCAACTTACAATTAGGCCGACAATGCTGAAATTGATGTAATAGACCGAATAAGTTGACTTATACTTGGTCGAATTAAGTAATATCACAAAGTTCCCTAAGAAGTAAATACAAAGAAAACAATCTCCTATAAAATGCATCGAGGCCTATGCAATCCCAAGGACTTAGAGCCCGTTTGGTAGCATGAAAATCGGCTGTTTTGGCCGATTCTGCTGAAATTTATGAAGAATCAAATAGAGCTTTTGCGCATTTTCGTTAATACATGAATAGAGTTTGAGGGTCTGGTCTAGTCTATCCAGCTCAATTGGAAAAGAATCAAGAGAATAAGTAAAGAATCACAAGTAATATAAATTGATTTCGCAAAATTGACACCATCTAATTCGCCAGCAAGGATTAAAAGAAATCCTCTAATTGTTTCAGCGAGACCTACATATTTACCTGGAGAACCGGTAAATATTTCTGCTACGAAAAAAGGTTGTGATAAGAAACGCTCAATTTTTCACGCTCTTGCCACGTTTAAACGATCTTCTTCGAATAATTCGGCACGGGATAATTCGGTTGTGAAAGCAAAAGTTACGTGTTTAGTGAAAAAATTGGCTGATAAGCTTGATAAGTCGAAAAATAATGTTGCCAAACGGCCTCTAGATTTAACATGTTGGTTTGGAATTTATACTCCTTAACGCCGTTAAATTCCAATGGGAAAGTTTCCATCATTTTATTTGTGCCCTTCGTGTGTTAATTATTCCATCCATTCATTTGATAAGAAATGCTAGGGGTACACAACCTGTACACAACTTGTACACAAAATGTCGATCACAGATAATTGGTACAGAATTGTTTGTGGGCACAGACAAGAGTTGTCTGATTACACAAACAACTTTTGTATGTGTTCAAAGACATTTACTTTTTTGTAAAAAGTACATTGACAGCCGCCTGACACTGACACCAGCTTGCAAATCGATCAATATATGTGCAGTACCTGTGCGTACCGACAATATTTACCACACAGACAAAAGTTGTATATTCCACAGACAATAGTTGTGCATTCAACATACAATAGTTGTTTGTGTGATCAACTTTAGTTGTCGGTGTGATCAATTTCAATTGTGTGGGAGAACAAAAAATTTAATTGACTATATATATCCAAATGAATGATGTAGTTGTATGTGTGATCAATTTACATGTAATTTGAAAAATAGAAAAATAATAAAAATAGATGAAATAAGATGAATAAGCTTAATTTGTGCACATAATGAAAAAAAATTGATAAAAAAGATAGAGAAAAGAGGATGAAGAAGGAAAGAGGAGGATGAAGAGAGAAGGGAGAGAGAATGGAGAGAAAAGAGGGAAGAGGGAAATCAGTTTTTCTTTTGCTTTTATACCATGTACAACTTATGTACATGGTGTGTACACTTAGCATTTTTGTCATTTGATTGCTTTAAAATGAAACGAGTTGACACAGTGACACTCGATAAGGTTTTCCCTCAGTTTGTGAATTACTCCTTCGTCATTAACCTTTCATGACCACCAGTGGCGGAACCAGAACAAAATTTGAGCCGGGGCTAAAAAAATTTCGAACCGCTGGTTGGGAAGATCCATAATGTATCGTTTTTTGGGTATATTTATAGTAATTTGATCTCAAATTCATGCAGAAGAGTTATTCTCATTTGCATGAAAAGTGACACTTTATTTGTACCTATATATAATTCACACAAGCGCACACATACATATACACATCAACTTAAATATAGACATTTATTCATTTTTATAATTGTTTTGTTAGTGCCTAATCAAAATAATAGATTTCGTTTATTAAATGAGTTTATTTCGATTTAATACGCTTTCCCTTTTATTTTAGAATAAAAACTTTAAAAAGGTTTAAATAGAAATATAGCTAAACAAGTAGAGGAATAAATTAATAACATACGGAGTATATATATAAGTTACTAACTGTTTTTCTCTTTTCAAATTAGAGTTAGAAGTAAGTTAATTTTTTTTAAAGGATATTTGTTTTGTTTGTGCAAATGTATGACATAAATCTAATTATACTCATATAAAGTCAGATATTTCAAATACCAACAAGAAATTTTGGCATATTTGTAGTAAATCAAGGATTGAATATAAAATTCAAATAGTTTTGAAAATTTTATTGATAAACTTCTTATAAAATGATATATGTCAATGTTTAAAGGAGGAAGCATTAGTTATAAGTCATTTTTGTTGTTATTGTACGCAACATAAATGTAAATAACATGTTAATATTCGAAAAAGTAACAAATAAATATTTTGAATTGGAAAAATAAAAATGTGAAAGAAATTTGTAGTGGTAGGAAAAATATTACTCCATTCTACGTAATTTAGAAATATATGTAGGAAAAATAAAAAGGTTGAAAAACCAATAACATCCCAAAAAGAGGAAGTATAATAGTACTTAGTAATTTAAAAAAGAAGGCTCAAGGGGAATCGAACCTGCATCTCCCCGCTCAACCTGAAGAACGCTTCAACCATCTCTGCTACTATGACTTTTAGTCTAAGGACGGGATAGTTAGTACTTAATATGTTTGAGACGGGGCTGAATATCTATACATACATATATATACAGTAAAACCTCCGGCGAACGGGGGGCGGCAGCACCGGCTCGCCCCCCCTAGTTCCGCCACTGATGACCACAAAGATTTGGATGCATCTCTTTGTTAAGAATTGTTCTTTTCATATTAATTTTATTGCTTATTGCTTACAAATATTATTGATAGAGTAATTCTAGAGAGATGTGAGAGCTAGAGAGATAAAGTGAGTAATTATATTTCTCAACCCCCTATAATTAGCCCCTTGGGGTCTATTTATAGGTAAAATTGATATACAAAGTGCCACATAATCCTGCCATGTCATTATATATAACTATTATTTAATTACTTTCTATACCTTTTATTTTCTACGGAGTATTACCTTTTGTATATCTATCTTATTTGATAACCTTATCAACTTCAAAATCTTATTTTAATTCGGCACTTCTATACCTATTATAAATCTGATTTTATTTACTCCCCGGACTTGCCAGTGTTTAATTTCTAATTTCATACTTTGGAAACAATGACAATCCATCCTAAAAGGAGTTGAGATTCTTTACATTCTCTCAAAATCGTTTCACTGCACATGCTTCATCCATCAATATTAGTTAATTTTTGCTTCATATTTAGCTACACCTTCATATAATTATTTCTTAATTATTAACCCATTGATGAAAATTATAAACACCGAATTTTTGAAATTAAAAACGAAATTAATGTTATTAGACATTCAAATTTAGAATCATATAAAGAGAATACTTCTAATCAAGTAGCTTTTCTTTATTATTTATTAAGCATGAAAGTTGAAATCACACATGCATATGTGTGTGTTCACAAGTAAATATGTTTAGTCTAGCCAAAAGTAAATATGTTTGATTGTTTCATTTCTTTATTTTTACTACATTTTTA